CTCTTCTATCCCGGCTGTAACGGAGCCGGATTAGTGCGGGCAGAGGAGGATCCCTTACAGCAGCGGGAGCCGGCCCACTTCGCCTTTCCCAGCACCTGTCACTGCTGGAGCCCGTTCAAAGGACACACCACTATCGCCTGTCCCCCGTGGGCTGGGGCCACGCAGACAAGGGGCAGGGGACAGGGATAGACTTGGCTCCTGCACAGCACCACAGACAGGGCTGGCACTGGACATAGTGGCACCCCAAAACCATCCCATGGGGGGGCCTGGGTGAGCTGGACAAGGTCCAGGTGGCTAAGGCCCTCCAAGGTGCCCACAGGTGACATAAGGTGACCACCCACCATGGGGATGGTGGCCAGGAGCAGCTGGTGATGGTGCTGGTCCCTGTGCTGCTGAGCTGTGGCCAGTTTTCCCCACTGGCACTGTCCCTTTGGGAGAGCAGCTCCAAAGGATCCTGTGCTCTGTGGGTGTGATGTGGCACCTCTGGGCATTGCCACTGGGCTTTGATGAAGGTGACAGCAGCTGGGAACTGGGCACTGGCCAGCAGCCTTCATAGGAACCAGTTGAAACACTAATTTTCTGCAAAATCAAGTGTTTTGGGAATCAGGGAAAGAAACAGAGCTGGAGGCTCCAGAGGGGTTGGGCTGTGTGCATGGGTGCTGCACAGGCATTGCCAGTTCCTTCTGGGGTGCTGCACCCCAGGACACACCTCAGGCACTGCATGGGGCTGAATCCTGCTGTTTTCTGGAGGAGTGGGACTCTCCCCAGGCCCAGGCTGGCCAGGTGCCCCCGGGGAGGCTGAGCTTACCCTGGGCTCCTCCAGCCTCAGCCTCTGCCAGCCTGGTTATGCCTCCCAGTTCCACACCCCACAGCCACACAAAGCTCAGGTCCTGCCAGACACCAAACCCGGCTTTGCTTTTTCCTTAGTGTAAATCCTATTTTTGGCAGGGCTGGAGGCTACAGCAGCAAAGGAGGTGGGAGGCTGCCCTGGCCAGTGCCATCCACGATGGATGCATCCCCAAGAGCAGTGCTCACTTTGCCTGCAGCACCTCTCAGGAGGACCAACACTGCTCAGGCAGTGCTGCTGCTCCACATTGACAAATTCCAACTCCCAGTGAGCCACCAGCATCTGTGTGCCATGGCCTGGTGTCAGACTTAGCCAGTGGTTCACATGTGGCATTGAATTGAGAGCCAGAATGGGAGCACAGCTGCTCCTCTGTTCTTGTGGTGCTGCTGTCCCACCTGTCCCTCCCCTGGCCTGAGGCACCCATCATCAACACCTCAATGCAAGAACAACACTTGCTCAGTGGGACACAGCTGAGGACACCTGAGCAGATATGGAGCTCTCCTGCTCCAGCCTTAACAGCTTCACAGCAAGGCCAGCTCCTTTCCTGAAATCCATATCAGGACTTGGAATGTGATGAGGACCAGCAGGGATAACGCAGGAGCAGGCACACAGCTCCAACTCACTGATATGCTGATGCAGGTGTTACAAGGTGTTGGAGCATCACCAGCAGCCACAGTTCTTGGTGACAATGACACATACGCTGGCACAGTCCTGGCACAGCCACCACTCCCATGATGAGTGGGAGTCCCCCACCTTGGCCTCTGTAGGCCACAGTCAGGAATAACTGACCAGATATGCCTAACCAGCAGGGACTCTGCCCATCAACTGTCATCGCCAGCACGCAGTTTGGAATTGCCTCTCTCCTTCTCCAGCCGAGGGCTGCCAGCACCTGGAGGCCACCAGTGTCACTTCAGGCACATACTGCCACCACTCCGCCAGCCTTCGACTCTGCACCCTCCTGGTAAACCGGGTGGAAGGAGCATATCCATGCCCAGTCTAAGGCAGGAGCCCATGAGCCATAGCCATACCCTACAGCCCCCTTGGAGCTCTTGGTGTGGTGGACACTGGGATAAAATTCTCCAAGGAGAGCAGGAACAAGCACCTGGACTGCAGTCAGCCTTCCCGGGATGCTGAAATCTTCCACGCTCCCTGGGAGCAAGGTTGGTCTGGGCACAAATACCTGGGACAAGGTGAGGAAGCAAAGCCCTGGGCGTGGATACTGGGGAGCCACGGCCCTCCAAAGGCAAGGGGTGACCATTGCTTGGCATTATCACAGATAAAATTCATTTGTGGGTGGAGAGAAATAAGCTGAAATCAGACATTTGGGAAGAAGGAATTGTAGAATTGAAGGGCAGTATCTGCTGCACCCCAGGATTTTAGATGCCTTGGTCTAAAACCACATGGCTAAAGAGCAGCCCAGTGCTCTGGGGCTCTGCAAACCAGCCACCACTCAAGCTTCTCAGCCTGGGCTTGGTTGTTTTTTTTTTTTTTTCTCCCTTCCCATTCAGGAACTTAAGCCAGAGCCTACATTGGCTGCAGCTGGGAAACGGCCTGTCCTGGGGCTATCTGGCAGCGCCTCAAGCACGCTGTTCCCTGGCGACGCCGTTGTCACAACTGTGGCAGCACACTTTAACCTTTACGTTTACCCTGGGAAGGGAGGCTCTGCCGGGCCAAAGCCAGCCCATTCTCGGGAAACCCTACACCCCAGCTAAATCGAGCGGCAGGGCAGGCTGAACAACATCCCTACCTGAATCTCAGCCATGCTGCTGAAACACAAACCAACCAGGCTGTCTGCCTAAACTGCTTCCATCAGAACCAGGGCTTCCACCACGAGCTACCATCGTGTCACGACAGGTGTCAGCAAGGTGATGGGGAAAGACAAGGAAAAATGCCATCATCAAAAGACCATCCAGAGGAATGTGGCCACCAGCAGCAGCACCAGGGATCACCAGGACCTGCCTGGGTCCAGGGGTCCTTGCCAGATTCAGGCCAGGTCACACATGCAGCTGCAAAGGTTTCCCAGTGGAGACAGAAGAGACAAGCAAAGCTGTGATTTGAGAGCATCATCAAGCTTTTTCATAAGGATTTATTCACTAGATAATTTGATCTTGCAATTCAACATGAAAGTCCAGGAAAACATTGGTTGCCTTAAAGTTCCAGCTCTAGTCTATGTTCAGCAAATTATTTTGATAACAAATTGAGTACAACTCAACTAGAACGGGAGCAGAGGAAGATTTTGTACCCAGATCTCTCCTAACCTCCTCCCTCTCCTTGCTCTCAAGGCATGCATATAACAGTTGATCGGCTTTGAGTACTAGAATACAAAAATATTTTTGCAAAATCCACACAGGGAAGAATATAGATTTTACATCAGTTTCTCAACCTACCCTGACTCTAGAGGGAGGTATTGGAACAGCACCTAGTTAAATCCCAGTCTCTTGCTCTGATCCTGTAAATTTGTTCCCCCAAGCACCAGAAAAATCACCTACCACCATATCCCTGCTGAAGCCTTGGCCAAATCTCATCCTCTCCAACATCCAGCTCCTTTAGGACATGATTTTTACACTTTGTACACTAGAGCAATTTTCCCACCATGTCCCACCACTGTCACAGAACAGGTCCCACACCCCAGCCCGTGAGAACCTGGTGGGTGACTCTAAGCTCATACAAACACCCTAGACCCTTGGAGGAACAGCTGCCTGAGGCTCCTGCTCCTGCTTGCAGTGCATGGGGAATAGAAGAGGCCATGTTTGGGGGAAGATGTAATGTCTTTTATTAGACCCAAACGATACCATTGGGGAAAAAATACTGCCAAGCTTTCAGGCACACAACCCCTTCCTCAAGGCAGAAGAGGCCATGTAGGGCCATCAGGAAAATCCAGCTGCTTCATCCTTCAGGGATCAGTGGCTGCTCCAGTTCCACAGCCTCATGATCCTGTGTGCCTTCACATTCTTCAGCAGCTCATCATCATTCCAGCTTCCCCTGACTCATCATCAATATTTGCTGCTCCTGCTGCCCACACACTGCCTTCTCCAGAGCTGGCACTCGAGGAAAAAGCAAGGGCTCCCTGTCAGCCCATCTGAGGTTCCGTGATGTCCCCATTCAGTAGCAGATCACAAGGGAACAGCTACACCATGACAGAAATGGAGTTAAGGCAGACAGGTCAGATCCACATGGATTTTCGTTTTCAAGAAGAGGATGCTGACATGTCCCTTGTGCTTCAGCCATGCCTGCAAATCGTCAGAGCAGCAGTGACAGCAGGTTTTCTGGCTGTCCTGTAACTCTCAGCTCAGTGACACAGGGCTATGAGCGAAGTCAGAAAAATGTGGCTGAGGGCAGACTGGGTGATTAAATCAAGCTTTTGGGCCAACCTCTGCCACAGCTATACAAAGATCCTCAAGAGAAGGGAAGGAAAAGCTGAAACTTGAGCAAAATGGAGCCACATCTGAGCTCACCATTTCCAAGAACCCACAGTGCCACAGAGTCATTCATCCTTTAGTGCCAACACACCTCCCCAAGCCTCTCATTCTCGTTCCTCAGTTGCTAACTGCACAAAGCCTTTAATTTTTAAAAGGATCCTTGTATTTCAGTTTTTTTGTATTTCCTTTATTAATCCCAGCACTGAAGTTTGATGCTGGTACTCTTTGAAACACTCCCATAGAGAACCCAGCTCTTCTGCAATGACACCTCTTAAGCATCACACTTTTTAACAAAATTCCTGCAGAAACATCATCCCTCGAGTACAATAAGTGTTCATCTCAGAATTTAGGTCTCTAAGCACTTTCTTCGACTGTTACCTCTCAATCTAAGAGTAAAATAGCAGTTGCTTGATGTACTTTGGCAAGAATGAAACAGCACCTCTAACCACACCCTTAGCTGGAGTCTAACACCAAGTTTGAATTCTCTTTTTCACCCAAAACTCTGAGCAAAAAGCTACACACTCTGGGAATACTTCTTCAACAGTATCCCAACATAGAGGAAATGAAAGCAAATGTTTTCCATAACCACCAAACAAGAAAGTTTGTCCAGTTAGGACAAATTAATTCTAAATTTCCCTTTTCCATCCCCCTCTCTTCTAAGCAGCACAACAAACAGTAGAAGCACAAGTGTTTCAGCAAGATATAAAGGTAAGAAATCAGAACACAATACTAAGTAAGAAATAATTATTAAAACTTTAATCTAGATGTATCCACTCTTCACAATACCAGCAGTTTTGTCCTTCAGCACATTTGAGCACTTGGGCTATATTTAGCTCTGCTTGCTGCCCAAATTGGCCAGAGATGCTGATGGCTCCATAGCCAAGAGACCTGCACTGCCAGGAGCTGGGGTAGCAGCTCACAGCAAGTCACTTACCAGATAAATGGTTCCCTAAATAGAAGGATTTCAGCTTTAAAACAGCAAGAGTGTTTAATGCTCTAATATACACAATGAATTACTTTTAAGCGTGGGCAAGATCTCTATTTGTGGTCATCTAAACATCAACATGGAAGGCCAGACCCACGCTACACTGGCTTGAAGGAACCTCACTTAACACAATTCAAGCTAAATGTAGACTAAAAGGCTAAAAAAGAGACACTTTAAAATAGTACTTAGTGTACAAACACAAGACAGCTCTGCCAGATGCACACATCTGTGTGGTCAGTCTTTACCAAAAACTCTTTAGCAGGAAAGGGCTTCAGCCCACTAGCCAGAGACAGCAAACAGATTAGGAATTTTTATTTAGTTTGGTACACAATATCTGTATGCAATATCAAAACTTGGTTTAGCCTCTAGAGAAGATGGGGTCTAGATACACAGCAAGGCCAGGAGGCACTGCTGAAACGCCATGGGCTCAGGTGGGGTTTAACTACTCAGTACAACCATGGAACCAAGTATAGGAGTTCATACTGAGCAAAACAATTGCTCCCTCTCTCTACCAAGGGAGTGTAGAAGGATAGGATCTCCCTCCAGTTATCACATGGATGCTCATCAGCATCGGAATCTGTCTGAGAACTTGGGAGACTTTGGTGTAGTCAATGGTTGATCACTGGACTTCACTTCCATGCTGCGGTATTTGCGTATTGGGTTTGCCTTGTGAACCTGTGAAAAAATAAATGTGAGCAAGGGCAAAACAAAGCAAATGGTTGCAATTATGATGAAGCTGAAATTTGCAGGTCAGCTGTGGATGAGATGAAGGCAGGCATTTGCCTGAGACCACCATACCACCCAGGGCACTGGAGTGAGGGACTGGGAAAATGCACAGCACATGTTGGGGTTGTGGGTTTCACGAAGATCATTTTGCTTTGATAGCTACACATGTGCAGCTCCAAAACTCAGCCATCTCAGCACAGCTGCCTTCTTTGTTTGCATAGTTTTGTAGGTTTGGTTTTTTTAAACCAGTTGTGAAGTCAGTGAGTCATCAATTTGCAAAAGGCAACCTTGAAAAGGCAATTTTAGCACAGCTCAAGAGTGACATTAGCTCCGTATGGATGTTCCCACATTCCTTTGGGTTAATTTACAGCCCTTGCTCAGAAACAGCTCACTTACCATTTCTTGTCTTAGCTTAGCAACTTCTTCCTTTTCACGCTCCTCTTGTTGCTGCCTGATCTGCTCCTCATACCTCTCCCTTAAGGCTTCTGCGTCTGCCAATCGCTTTTCAAATTCTTGCCGTTCTTTTGCTCTTCTTTCTGTTGCCAGCTCAAAGCTTTCAGGAACTACAGAACCAGAAAGGCTCTCTAAGTTTAGAAATAGAGGAGATAACATTGGTTCAAAGACAGCCAGGTAAAGCAGAGCAGTACTAATGTCAATGGAAGCCTCCCTTTGGAGAGCTTCCCCTTGGCAAGGGTGGTTAGGAGATACCTCCAGGCTTCAGGACAAGAGAAAACTTTACTCCCAGACGTGAGCAGTGTTAATGCAGACGTCACCCCGTCATGGGTGTTCTCATGGGAGGGAGCAAGCACACAATTGTTAGTACAAACAAGCTTTTGGCTAAGTTTTATGCTCTACAAATTTCAGCCTACCCAAGTAGTAGATGCCTTCATCTCATTAGAAACGGGAGGGAAAGAGTGACAGCGCTGCAGAAGTGCCAGCTGTCTCTGCAGGGAGCTCCTCACATTCTCAGTACCCTTATCCTGAGCTGGCACACATCAATCATTTGCCAATTGCAGCAGAGCTGCTAAATACAGCTGCCATGCTGGAGCAGGACGGGGGGCGGAGAGGAAACCCCCTGCTCCCAGGGGACACAAGCTGTTAGACAATTAGTTGATTAAATGCAAGGCACTATTGGCTGTGCTGATGAAGAAGAGGCAACAGCCAGAAAAAACATCACTTAATTACATCAGTTCTGAGCTATCAGCCAAGCCCGTGTAGCAAATACTTGCAACACTACCTGATAGCACCTTATGTTCCTTTTTGGGCACAAAAGGCTCCTGGTACATCACTGTGTTGGGACGAGCTTTGAAACATGCTGCCTCTTTCTGTCTTTTCAAGTCTTCTTCAAGCTACAAGAGAAGACAGCATGTCAAGTGCCAGGCAGGAAGGGACCATCTCCCCATGACCCAGACTCCAGAACTCCCTACACTGGAAAAGCCATGCTGACTTAGTCAAATAATTTCCATAGAAAATTATATTAAAGCCAACAAGTGGTGTCACTTGTTGCCTGACAGTTACTTTGCTAAAAGTACCTGAAGAAAGTTTTAGGTGTCCACTGTAGACTTCACATGAGAAAAGCAGTATATTATTTGTGTGTCAATAAATTCCTGGAGACTGTCAGCAAATGGATTCAGCTGCACAGAGCTGCTGCTTAGAAAACACCCCACAGTTGTTCATACAGTTGTAGTAAATCCCATCATTTACCATAATGTGAGAAAAATAAAAACAAACAATTGACCAATCCTTAACCCATAGCACAAGTCTCATGCCAAGTACAGAAAAATTCCTTGTTCCAACTCAGCTACTGATTAAACTCAAGGACAGTTTCTGCAGTCAACCACAACTCCACCAGCTGCTTTAAGCCTGGTCATTCCCGTTATTGTTTTCATCCTACCTGCTGTTTCCAGCTCTGGAGCTTGGCAGCTCCCCGTTCATCCACCTGCAGATGGAACGGTTCAGCCTGAGTTGGGGCTTTGACCTTCTTTTCTGGCAGTTTAACTTGGTCAAAGTAAGGCAGAGGCAGAGCTTTGAACTTCGGCACCTGAAATAAACAACTCAAAACATTTCTTGTCCTTTCCTTGGTAGTTTAATAGAAAACAGCAAGTCCTGTCACACTCGTTTTTACTGAAGGAGTAGAATCCAAAGTAGCTTTTAATTCTTACCACTTCCTTTTGTAGTTCTTCTATTTTTTTCTCTTTTTGTATTTGTCGCTCTCTGTCCCGGGCATCGAAAGAGAAGGGACAAACTTCCACGTGCCTCTGCTCTGGCATTTTGGGTTTGAAGGGCACTCCATAATGTGGCATAGGATTGGCTTTGATAACAGCCACCTCCTCTTTTTCCTAAAGGGATATTAGCATTAGGATCTGATTTTTTACTTGATTGTATAGGCTGCAACTCCTGCCAAGCAAAGCCACAAAAAAGTTTTGAATGAGTTCCTTTAATAAGGGGCACAGCAGGGTCACACAAACAGTGGACACTGCAAAAATGACGAATCCAAGTACCAATTTACTGGCATCCTGAACCACAGGCCCAAATCTTCCTTTTTTGAAACCACTCTCAACTCTAATACTCATCCAAATTAGAGTGTAATTATTTAATATCCTCTTGACAAGAAAGGAAGGAAGAAGGATGTGAAGCTTTCAGAATCCTGCTCCCCACTTCAGAGAGATGAAAGGTCATGTATAGTATCTGCCTTCAGTGACAGAATAGGGAAGGATGAGAAATCTAAGCAGTTCACTTTCCTCATTCATAGCAGCAACATCTCAGAAACCCTCATCAGTGCCATGGCATTTAAACTATTTCATTTTTATGAGAATTCAGTTTCTGTAAAATGACCAGCAATAACCAGATTCCTTGAAGTGAATGGCACAGGCAAAGATAACTACTGGAGGAACTGCTCACAGAAGGGAAAGGGGCTTCCAGCCCCAGAGCATCCCACCACATCCAGAGGCACAGCAGGCACTGCAGTGATACCTGGGCCTGGCTCCAACTTCATCACAACTGTTACCTTTTCTTCTTCTCTGCCAGACATGCGGGTTCTGCTTCTCAGGGTGAAGGCTGGAGACTTGGGGACTGTAACAGGAAGTGCTTTCTTCTCTGGAACACCCTGTTCAGAAAAGCCAGTAAGGAGTTACCCAAGGCCAAGTGCCAAGAAAACGCCTCAGAGAAACAACCTGACAGCACAGGATGTACCTACTGTGGTTCTTACCTAATGACACTGTTTACTAAGATCATTAAACACATCATGCAACACAGCTACAAGCATTTTGAAGCTCACTGCCACCTGAGGTCCAATTCCCAAGCCTGGGTGTTATTAAATTTCTTACCACAACATCCTCCAGGATTTTTGTGGGACATGGCCTGGAATGGAATTCGTAGCGTTCTTCCTCCTGCTGCTTCTTACTCTCACGCTCCTGAATCCTTTTTTCTATTTCCAACTGAAAGCCAATGGGATGGGTGAGCTCCTTCGCAGTGGGTTTCTTGGGCAGGAGTGGCCCACCCTCAAAGATTTTGGGATTGACTTCTCGTGCTTTGAATTTGTACCTGTACCAGGAGCAACGTACATTGTATGTTAGTGTGCAGCTCTAGTTAGCAATTCTTCCTTTGCCTTCAAATCAGCAAGATTAATAAGGAAAATCTTATAAATTGTTTTCCTAGAAATCCAGACCTTTGCCTACAGGCAAGTTTTAAATGCAGGCTGCATTGCTATATTTGGTTTGTTTTACTCATCATAAGCTGTACTCAACCCAAGATCAGCTCTCCTAAGAGCACTTTCTTCAAAATGAATTGTTTATATTTCACTTCCCTACAATCAGAGTTAAAGAATTATGAACAACCTAAAGAAATCTCAGTGGCGTATGCTACTCCTCCTTTTATACAAAAAGGTTATTCCAGAGACATGGTATTTTGGTATCTGAAAAATATTTCCAACGTGGTACAATTGTTCTATGGAGGACTAGAGTAAGCCTTTACTTACTGTTGAATTTTCTCTACCTCCTCTGCTTCTAACTCTGCAGCAGTTTTGCAGGTGACAGGTCTCAAGCGCTGCTTTGTTCGCAGCACTGGTGTTTTGGCTTGTGTGACCCGAGCCTTCACTGGCTTTTTTGAAACTGAGCCTACAAATTCAAGTCACAGAGAGACCAGCAGTTAATGGCAAGGCCTGCAACAGACACAGGTCATTTACTCAAGAGTAGTCAAAGCATCTCTCACTCTACCACCACGTCTGTGGACACAGCCAGGACCACTCACCTTCCTCAGATTTCCTGCTCCTCAAATGGTAACGAGGGGGCGTCCGTTTTTGGAATGCTTCTACCTGCTCAGCAAAGGACACATATTCTGTTGTGGCTTCTTCGAGTTTTCTTTTGTTTCCCTGGGACAGATTGAAAGGTTTGGGGACAGTGCGTCCCTTTGGCATTCGCACCTGGGGACAGAAAACCACAGTCAGTATGGCCAGGAGGCTTTGATGACATTTCCTTTCCCACTGACGCACAGTAACTGTCCCATCCTCTCACTGCAAAGAAAGTAACACCTCACATTAAGCACAAGTGCTAACAGTCTGAACATGCACAAGTTATATTGGGAAACTGTATCGAGCAGATTAAAGCACAAAGTGGAATGACTGGAAGATCTGACATTAAAGGGCTCCTTTTTCCACAAGGTTTCTTTGGAGTCTTGTGGCAACACAGACACACAGGAAGTTTGCAGTCACATTTGCACAACACTTGCCACTTCTGTGGTAACCTCTCTGTGGGTATCAGTCCAAGCATTGCACAAGCAGCAAGAATCAGTGAGCTGAGTGCTGGCAACACTCTGGCTCTCACCGGTGAAGGGGGATGCTTCCTCAGTATTGCTGCAAAATCCACCTCCTTGTACTCATTCCCAGACTGGCTTTCCACATTCTGTTTAATTCTATTCTCTGTGCAGAAGTGGAAATCAACTGACTTTGTTGCTTGACAAACAGGTCTCTTCACAGGTTGTCCTAGAGGAAAAGAAAATGTAAGGACTAGAAGCCTTTTACTGTGGGGAAGGATTTGTGGAAATAAAAAAAGCATTTAATTTCTAACAACTAGGTAAGTTTTCAGAGAACTCATCTTTATCATGACATAACCCAAACACACCTGTTTCCAGGCAGTTTAGGGGCTGATCTGCATTAAATGGCTCCTAATATTTATTGCAAAGTCTGAAATGCTTGTTTTCAAAGGTACTTGCACAGCTCTGTGCAGCACTCTGCAGCTGAGCCCAATGCAACTTCATTTGGCAATTCAGGCAGAGCCCACCTGCTCCAGCAATAGCTGCTTTCATAGACTCCTCATTCTTCTTCCGCAGCTCCATAACCTCCTGCTGCAACTGCTGCATCTTTTCCAGCTCCTGCTCCTCTGTACTCTTTGGCTTGCTAGAAGGTTTGGTCCTCCTGCAGAAGCACATTAAAAACTAAGCTATGCCTTCCTGCTTCCCTGGTTATTAGCATGATGTTAGTGCAAGGAACATGCTTATCTCCAACCTCACTGCAGGAGCATCACCAGCTATAATACCATACTCTTTAGAAGAGATCTGTTTGTTCAAGATATCTCACAGCTAGCTGCTATTCTGCAGACCCATTTCCTCTATTCATTCTCAATCCATTACGAAGACTAACTTTTTCCTCAAAAGAAAAGCAAAAGCTTTCTTGTACACAAGTTCAGCTGGTGAAGTATATTTCATCCTAATATTGTTGCCTTGACCCAGTGTTTACTAAATGTGATACCATCACATTCTAAGTTGAAGCTGAAAACACTCAGCCAGGACTGTCACCTAAATCAACTCTGATTAGCATACAAGTCACAAGAAAGCCACGTACTTCAACATTGTTGGCGTGGAGGGCATGGGCGGTTTGCTTTTCCCTTTCCCTGGAGAGAGGTCAGAATCCTGCAGGGGCTCTCTCTTTGTGGATGCTTCTGTCACCTTCTCTCTGCTACCAGAACTAAGAGAAAAAGTTGTCAGGGCAAACCCTTTGAATTAACTGTGTTCTAAATAAATGATCACCTGCACTTCTCACCACTATGCATAACATCCCAATAACTGGTGAGGTCTAAGATATGCCAGGCTGGCTTTACCACACCCCAGGCCCAGGTATAGACCATCCAGCTTTCTCTGGTACTCTAAGGCTGCAGAAGGGAACATGAATTACTGAGTTTTTGGAATTTTTCTGGAGAAGGGAGGTATACTGTAGATCATCGAGGTACAGCGGTGTTTCAAAGATCACACTTGAATTTCCTGCCCTCAAGCTTATCACCATATGACACTTTAGTGGTAAAGTTCATTTGAGAAATGTTTTAGCTGTGACTCTTTCATAGCTAATGACTGCCTGATGACTTCCGGATGGATAAGTTCAGACAAATTTAAAGCTGACTGACAGACACAGAGTAAGACGTAAGGTGAAGAAGCCCATGCTTATTTCATTCACATCTGTACCTCCAAACAGAGCAATTCCTTCAGCATTTACAGTCATTTCTTGTTTATGAAACCAGTGTCAGCAACTAGTTCCAGCCTCCACCCCCTAACCTTCCTGTAAGAAGCTTCTCAGCCAGGTGGAAACCCTTTCCAAAAAAACAATTGCATCCCTTTTCCCAGCCCTAAACGCAAGGACTTGGATGACATACATTCTCATTTTCTTCAAGGGTGGAACATCTTCCTTATTATCCAGGGCATTAGCAATTCCCTCTGCTTTGATTCTGCCTGGCTGCTTGCGCTGCTGGGTTTTTCCCTGCTTTGTAGCCAGTCTCCTGCCCGGTCTAGAGTAAAAAAAACAGAGAGCAGAGGTCAGTTTTCTCACAGATCTGAGGAGACACCTGAGCTGGATAACGCTTTTTATGTCAGTGCATCCCCTAACTCCACCACACAAATTGTGTTTAACACAACAATCCAAACACAATGCGATTGATTAAAGTTTAACAAACCGTAAACTAAATACTCTTTGCTATATATGAGCATGCAGAGGCCCTTACATTCATATCAAGAATGAGTTCTGCCCAAGTCAAGCAGATGTAAACAAAGAAACTTTATAAGCCACCTCAGTTTCAGATATCCTCAGATTCCAGAAGCTCCTGGTGCTGCTGAGTCTCATTTGACAAGTATGTGAGACACTGCATTACATTTCCACCCCAGAGACTGTCCCTCCAGCTTAGCCAGCAGATCAGGTGTCCCAATACACGATCTTCATGTTGGAGAGCTCCAGCCCCACAGGATGCCCAAAGAACAGCTTGAACTGCAGATCCTGAGAGCAAGGACCTGCTTAGTTACACCATCATCAATCATTGTACAAACTGAACACAAATATTTTACCTCTGAGGGGCCTCTGCAGGGGCAACAGCTCTCCAGGTTGCCAGGGACCCAACGATATTCCCAGGGACTGCATTGCCCTGGGCACATTCTGCTTCATCATCACTTTTACCTGAAAAAGGGGCAAGTGTCAGCTCATCTGCATACACATATACAGAACAAGTAAAACCACATGAGACTTTGCAGATACGAGTTTATGAAGATGGCCCTACAAAAGCCAGACAGAGGCCTTTCCATTTCACCAGGGAAAAGCAGGTAAAATTTATTCCCTCCCTGCCACACCATGCCAGCTTACTCGTCACTACGTCTTGTGATGGGACAGAAGACAGAATAACATCAGGTTTTGAAAAAGCAGGGCTGCAGTGTGAGAGCTTTGCCAGATTTTCTGCAGGAGGTACATTCTCCAGATTGGCTTTTTGGTCTGTAAAGAGAGAAAGATTTTCACTATGCACACTGCTAGGAATTGTTAACAATACCCCAGAATATCAATATGAGGTTAACAAGGTCAAGTTACAAATGACAAAACTTAAGTACAAAAAAACAGAACAAAAGAAACCCCATGCATGATGAATAATGCAGTTAACATCATGATTAATTGGCACAGAAGCCAAGCCCAAAACAAGGATCACACCAAGGTGTCATTCAACAAGGAAACAACTCAAGGAGTTGGAAGCAACTTACCAAACCAGGAGTCTGCATTGTGTACATCATTCTCATTCAGAGTGGCAAAATCGATGCAGATGTTCGGGACATCAAAAGAATAACGGGATTCTGGCTTAGACATCTTCACAGTCACGCAGTCCCCACGAGTCCTCTGCCTGCACTGCTACAGTCCTTTAAACAACAGGATATCAGTGGAATCATCCCCCACCTCTCTTCCTCTGCAGTTTCTAGGCACAGGCATTGGGACAGCCTTTGGTAAATACCCCCTTCTTGCACTTCACACCTTTGGGCAGAACTCTTCACGAGCAATGCAGTTTTATTCTACTGCTGATGTGCAAAGCTAAGGACATTTTACCACTGTTGACATTTGCAGGTTCAAAACAATCAGAAAGATCAAGTTTTGACGGGATTTTTTTTGTACCTGGAAGTGCTAGAATTGTATTTTTTAAGGAGTAAAGCGTAAAGCTTTTCCAGAGAGCAATTGATTTGCACCTCCTTCCCTCACCACACATAAAGAAGAGTTCTTACCCTTACAGGATTTACAAAGCTGATGAGATTCACTCCAGAGCACTGCATTGCACAGCCTCTGAAGGGCTACAAATAAGAACTAATGATACAAAGGTGCTCTTCTATAGAATAAATTGATTCTCAAAGCAGGAAAAGGGTTCTGCTGAACATTGTTACTGGGCAAACAGTCAGAAGAAGGGCAGTGTCAGGCCCTCTTGCATTCCACAGCACTAGCCCAAGGCTCGCCAGGCTATAAACAAACTGAGCACTGTGACCCTTGTCAAACAGTCCCTGCAGTTAATTAATGAAGCACTGACAGCAAGAGGAGTCCCTGTGTCAACAGGTGATATTAAACTCAGCGGAACAGGAATAAAGCCAGTGACAAAGTTATAAACCCTGAAATTATAACAAAACCTTCTTGCAAAGGTGCTTTTGTGATGCCTTGAACAGCTGTGAGGCAAAGCCCACGAGGATGTTATAAAACACTCCCCAAGGAAATCACCTGAACTTTGCTTTTATGAACCCAAGCAATTCCAAAGCAGCATATTCGTAACTCACAGAGCCTCAGCCCTAAACCATCTGTCTAGGCAGACCACACATGGTGTTCTTCAATAAATAAGAAAATGGTCAAGATTAAAGCAAAGCAGTGTTTAGGGGGTACCACACTGGTCACAACCACTGGCCCCCAAGGATGGGTGCACTGAGAAGCCTCCAGCTCCCCAGAGCAGAGCTGTGATAGTTAAAGGCAAGAATGTCATTAGAAAAGCACCAGCTACATGGCTGGGAAGATGTCAAGGTAGGGCCCAAAGAAGGCAAACAGAAGAACTGGAGCCAAAACCAACTGTAACTGAGCTCGAGACATGGCTGGAATCAAATGCTTTCCTACTGCCCTTAATCAAGATAGAATTTCTGTCAACACTTTAGACTTTTTTAAAAATCAAATGCGTCATCTGCATTCTCCCCTCACCCTCTCCAGTCAGAGTCAGAGCTCTGGGCATCATGTTTCACAGCTACTTGTGCCCACTGCTACAATTTGCAGCTTTTTACTGTGTAGAGTCTATATTCCATAGTGTCACCACCCTCACCATCGACCTCATTGCTGACCTCTTCTCTCTCCCAGACAGAAGAGAATAGTCAGGAAAAGAAAAGGATTGTATCACTGCCTCAGTTTCATACTCTGTTTCTTGAAAGAGACAACAGGGAGATAAAATTTATTGTGACTGAACTCCAGAAAGTCCATTTCAGTCAGATGAACTCATGGCATCTGCTTCTCAAATCCCTACATATCCTCCAGGTCCTGCCGGGGAGGCAGCAGCTCACTGAGAGGCATCCTGCTCCTCCGCCCACCGACTCAGGCTAGGACAGGGATCAGCCAGGAATGCTCCAGTGATTTATCGTTCCTATGCCCACCACAAGGCATCTGCAATCCCAACAGGCTCTGCCAAGCACAGCCCGACACCCGCTGCCCACACCCTGCAGGCATTTTAAAACACCCTGGTCGTGATTTTGACAGCACAACCACATTTATCTCAATCCAAAATTCTTTCTCTCCACTGCGGCATTCATCCACCAGAAAGGAGGCGTGGAAATTTTTCCTCATTAATAAGGACGTTCCCTAATTAGCAGGCACTGCGTCCATTTCCCCAAGCGTGATTATAGGCACACTGTAATCCTACACAGCTCGGCGTGGATTTAAAGCATGACCCTACTCTCCTCCACATCCATCACCTCCTGTGTCGACACGGGTGTCTGCAGTGAGCCAGCCAGGGAACCCTCACCCCCATTCTGCAGGATCAGCTTTCACCTGGTTTGCAGAGCTGCTGAGGCAGGAAAGGAAGATCTGAACTCGCTTGCAAAAACACCCCAAATTCCTTCCATAAAGCAACTGCTTCATTAAAACCTTCGTCTTCTTTCTAGGTCTGCTCTCTCACTGACCTAACGTGCCTCCAGAACAGCGCAGCCGTATCCACAGGGAGGAAGAGGTAGTGGGTTCCTCCGGACATCAGGTTTCTTTTGAGTAACTACACTTTGGCACGTTCCAGAAGAGTGCCTTGGCATGGTTTAGATTAGTTAGCTTTGAGAAAGGATTATACTAAATTGGAACAAGCATTCCTATCTCAGAATAAGACTGATCCAACAGCAAGTGCAATAGGTATTTTGGAATAATTTCACACCTCGCTCTAATCCAAATTAGCTTTAAAATACTGACACAATTCCATCACAGATGTGTTCAGTGCCTTTGTCTCAATGTAGTTGTGAATTTTGTGCCAACAGCACAAAGTGCCTGGACAAAGAAGCCTCCCAGCCATTCAGGCCATGGTGTTGGAGAGAGGATGCAGAATTCCAAGATGAGAAATCAAGGTCAGAAGGAGCGAGAACGGAGTTTGGGAGAGTAGCAAGGACAGAAGGATAGTGACAGGGACACAGAAAGGCTGTGATAGGACAAGTGGAAATGGCTTCAAACTAAAAAAAAGAGAGATTTAGATTGGATATTAGGGAGAAATTCTTCCCTGTGAGGGTGGTAAGGCTGTGGCAAGGGCTGCCCAGAGAAGCTGTGAATGCCCCATCCCTGGAAGTGTTGAAGGCCAGGTTGGACAGGGCTGGTCCAGTGGAAGGTGTCTCAGCCCACTTTGGTGATGGGAGGGTTGGAACAAAATGAGCTTTAAGGTGCCTTCCAAACCAGTCTGGATGCTGAGGAAGGCAGAGAGATCTGCTCTTTTCTGCCACGTTGCAATGTAGATAAGGCCCTGGTGAACTGGAGATGATGCCTTATCACACCACTGGAGCTTCACAAGTCACAGATGTCACTTATGGCAAATCCTAACAGGATGAGAAAGTACAAAAACAACAGACACACAAGAAGGCTATTCTAAGTTACATCAGCAGATAAACACAAAGCCAGCTGATCCACATGCCTCAGAACCCAAGACAGGCAACCAGGAATAAGCAAGAGAAGCTTCCCTAAGCCTGAGGCAGCTGCATGGGAATGTGCTTCAGCAATTCCAGGGCCTTCTGCTGGGCTTCAACACCAGCTGCCACTTAAACACAGAATGTTGCACTAACTAGGCAGCTTTCATTCAGCCTGGCAGCTTCTTCATTGTTCTGCAACACAGAGTTTTCTGTTGTTTTTATTGGGATAATAATCCAAAGTTCCTGGATGCTTTTCAGGGGTTAACATGTAAGTTAGAGCATTAAAAAGGGATGTAATTGCCTCTCTGAAGCTACAGTCCTGTCACCAGAGCCTGGTAAAAACTATCCCAGCACAGCCCATCTCCTGAACTCCTTCTGCATGATGCCAACAGCCTCAGAAAGCCACCCTTCATCCTTGCTTTTCCCTGAGCAGGGTTAAGTGAACACTTACAACACATTCTGGATCTACACCTTCTCCCTCTTCTCTCGTGCCTCTTACTCAAAAGTTCAACTGGGCTTTTCTGCAGCATAAAAACAACACTGGATTCACCATCCCCCAGAATGCTGCTGTTCCATCATTTAATTCTCAAACTGGGAGACAAAGCCTTTAACTCTCTCCAGGTGAGAGCTGAGCCCGCAGAAAGCTCCACAGACCACCCCGACCGGCAGCAAAGGCAGGGGCAAAGTGCTGGCACAGCCTTTTTTCTGCTAACGGCCCAGACCCGCCCCCATTCCCAAAAATAAACAGCCTTGACATCTCGTGCTCCCTAAAAAAGATCCCACAAGTTTCAGAAGACATGAAGATGGGACATTCTAAGAATAGATGTTCAAGGAAAAGTAAATTATTTTTAGCTAGCACAACCTCAACTAATTGTTACTTTAAGCTGAAGGTCCTCTAGCTTAAAAAAAGCCCCGCATAAAAATAGCTCCCCTAATGCTTTTTCTGTTACTTGGACCAGGTTTTGCCTGGTTTGCTTCCCTCCTTTTCCTGGCAAGCAGGATTCAGATAGAGAAAACGTTACCGAGCTTCTTGTCGTGAAATACACTGTTTCATCAGATTTCGTGATTGTTTAAAGACTTAGAACTTTATTTCACTTCCGAAGTACCCATCCCACCATAACGCACACGCCTGGCGCTCCAGTACGGCAATCGCACCAGGGAGCGGGAACCTCTCCGCCACGGCGGCTCCTCCCGCTGCCGGCCGGGGGCTCCGGGCTCGGCTTCCCCGGGAAAAGGGATTCAGCAATCAGTCCCCGGGGCTCTGTTACGAGCCTGCCCATCAGGCGCCGCGACAGCGGCTCCGGCCACGGGCTGAGCGGCCGAACCCGCTCTTCCGCCTCCATTTCCCAGCCGAGCGCTCAGCCCCGTTACCAGCACCTGGGCTCAGAGTAGGCCCAGAGAACAGGCGGGTCGCCAGAGCGAACGACTAGATATGAGGAAAGGCTGCGGGTTGGGGAAAGAGGGGCGAGGCCGGGGGGTGTCCGGCCGGTACCCCCGCACTCACCTCAGGAGCGCCACCGCCACTCCGCGCGGCGCCTCCGCCACCGCCGTTAACGGATTTCAAACAGGGCTCGGCCGTCCGAATGCACCAATCAGCGCCTGGTGCACGCCCTTGGCGCGCGCTGATTAGCTGAACCGCTTGAGGACCCGGATAAGCAGACCCCGAGCAACGCCGTTGAGCTCTCCCTTGCAAAGCCTGACGGGAAGTGTAGTGCGTGCTCGCACAGCGCCACAAGGACCGGGCGAGAACCGAACCACAAGTCACATAAGGCACTGCGGGACAAATTAAACCAATGAAAAAAGGAGATGTTTTGAGTGTCGTTCTAGATGGCCTATCAGCAGCTGGTGGCTGGGTCCCCAGGGCCAGTGCGGCCGCGGGGCCGGGCAGGAGCCCACTGGAGCCGGGCGCTGGTACTGCGGCTGTAGCAGTATCTGCTGCTCGGCTTCCACCCGCTGCTCCTCAGAAGATCAGCCCTTCTGACTGCTGGGCCCGGAGAAAGCGGCTTCTGCCGCCTGGTAAGCCCGGCCAGGTTTCTCGATGCTGTGAGGAGAAAGTGCCCTTTGCCCAGTGACTTTATCGACCCCAAGTACTGCATAATCTTCCCCGTGGCCTTGGAGAGGGATGGGTAGCCAGCTGTTAACGGCAGAGCAGGCCCTCGGCTGCCACAGTCGCTTTCCCTGCTCCGGCACTGTCCGCATAACCCTCCCCTCACTACCCCGACAGGAGCTCCCTGAGTACTATAGAGACACAAAACACCCCACGTTCGTCCCGGACTGCTGTAAGTGGACGGCGGCCGTGTCAGCGGCAGGACCGTGCCCGTAGGGCGCGGCGAGAGCGGAGGCCGGAGCCGACCCCGCCGCGGCCGGCAGGGGGCGCCAGATCTCCATTCTCCGCCCAGCACCTTCGCGCCTGCGCACCGGCACAGCCGGCATAGCGCGTGCGCACCATGCCCCACGCCGTCCAACCGACGCCCCTCGCCCAGCCTCGAGGCGCCGTGCGCATGCGCACCACACCGCTGCTGCCCCCTCCCACCCTACCGCACCCCCCCGGCCGCTCGGCGGGCGATGTGGAAGGAGTCTCAGGACTGCTGAGCGGGCCGAGGCCCGGGGAGCTCCCGGAGACCTCCGGCGTCGCTGCCAGCCGGGCCCGCGCGGCAGAGCCGGGAAGGACGCGGACCCTCAGTCGGGCGCCGAGGTGAGGGGCGGGGCAGGGTAAACCTTGACTGACGCGCACCTCAGCCAAAGGGAGAGGGCGCTGCCGCGTCCCCGCCCCCCGGCGCTCTCCTGGCCGCTGATTGGCTGTCGTGTCGGCCTCCCGGGCGCCGTGTCGGCCCTCGTGCGCGGCCCCGCCCCCCAGGTACGGCGACCGGTGGGGCCGTCCGGCGACCTGGGGGGGGGCGATCCGGTGACTGAGGGGGGCGATTCGGGGGTCCGGGGAAAGCGGTCTGGTGGTGGGGGGGCCAGTCGGGTGGCCGAGAGGACCCGCTGCGGCTCTCCCGCCTGCCGCTACCCGGCGTGTCACCGTGCCGGCCCCAGCGGCTGCGTGCTGCTAACCGTGACTGGAATCGCTCCCGTAAGGACGCAGGGCCCTGCGGCGGCACCCCCAGTGGTGAGCGCTTTCAGCGCTCAGCAGTTTATCCTCTCCGCCTGCGGGAGCGAGAGGCTTGGAGGCGGCGGGGGCTGCGGTTACCGTCTAACTGAGCCCCCCTGGGGCTGCCGTGGTCCTTGGGCAGCGCTGCCCGCCCGCTGCCGTCGCTGCAGCCGTTGGGTAACGCTGGCGGAGGGGGGCGGGGGCGCCGGGCCCTTTAACGGGCGGGGCGAGGCGGGGGCGGTGCTGTCGCGGTCCGGGCCGACCCGAAGCTCCAGCAGAACGAGAACCGCCTCCGCCCCGGCCCGCAGCCGGCCTGCCAGGCGCAGCCCGCACCCGGTGAGACCTGGGGTCTGCTCGGAGCGAGCCTGGGGTTCCCGGGGGCTCGAGGCTGGTTTCTGGGGAAGGGGGTGTTGTGGTCGGTTTTCTGTGCGGCTTCAATCTGGTGGCCCTGAGCCTCTGCGTAGAGCTGCGGGGTGATCTCAGTATAACGATAAGCTATCGGTGGTAATGGCGCGGGTGCATCTAAGAGCCTTGGCATTAACTGTTTCGGTGCCTTTCTCCTCCTCTGTGCTAAGGTCAGATGTTTCCATCGGTCGCGAAGAAGAGGAGTGGAGTCGGGAACTGCTAAGTGCTGATCTGCTTGTGCTCCGGACCATGGACTCATTGAGGGCGTCCCAGGTGTGAAAATGTACAGCAGTAATCGGGAGTTAGTGATTGACTTTGTTTCCTACAAGCTCTCACAGAAAGGATACAGCTGGAGTCAGCTGGAGGAGGAAGATGAGAACAGGACTGACTTTGCAGGAGAGGAGGACGAGATGGACGGCGTCCTCAACGGGAGCCCCTCCTGGCATGCACCCACCAGCCACATAGTGAACGGAGCCTCTGTGCACCAGAGCAGCCTTGAAGTCCATGAGATCCGTCGAGCAGCCGACGACGTGAGGCAGGCGCTGAGAGAGGCGGGGGATGAGTTTGAGCTGAGGTACCGGCGGGCGTTCAGCGACCTCACTTCCCAGCTCCACATCACTCCCAGCACAGCGTATCAGAGCTTTGAGCAGGTAGTGAACGAACTGTTCCGTGATGGAGTGAACTGGGGCCGCATCGTGGCTTTCTTCTCCTTCGGAGGAGCCTTGTGCGTGGAGAGCGTTGTTAAGGAGATGCGGGTATTGGTGAAACGCATCGTGTCTTGGATGACCACGTACTTGACCGACCACTTAGATCCCTGGATCCAGGAGAATGGCGGATGGGTAAGAGCACCTCTCTGTGGTGGGGGTGGCTGCCCATGCCCTCCCTCACTCCAAGCTGGCAGTGAGGCTGGTCAAACCGGAGTGCAGCTCCCTGCAGTGTTTGTGCTAGAGCTTGTCCTGCCCCTTGCAGGGAGAATAAAGGGGTATGTAGTCTTGCCCTCTGTGCTCCTAACACTCTGTCCCGAGAGGGTCAGCCCACCGTGTTGACACAAACAGTTTGTACTCAGATATGTCTTTCTCTAGCCATTCTTTTTGTCCTTCTCCCTGGATGTTATGTAAAAGACCTGTTTTTCCAAGAGCCTTTGGAAATCTAATGTCATCCAAGCTTGTTCTTCAAGCAGAGCCCTGGCTCTGGGGCATGTATGTTCCCGGTGTCATTAACAGCAGGGAGTGGAGCTTCCTCCTCTCCAAGGCAGTGTTGTGGTGGGCTGGCTGGTGGTTTGCCGAGGTAACAGCTACTTCTTCATTCTGGAAACACCATTTGCCTTGCTCATGGTGAAATGAAATCCAACAGCAGATCCCGGTGGCTGGGTGGGCTTCTGGGACTGTCTGAGCTGGTGTGGTGGGAGCCAGGGCCGAGGTGGAGGCAACCTCTGTGCTGGGGAGCTGCTAAGCCCACAGCTGCTTTTCCCTTGGCAGGGAGCAGTGCTCCCAGCTGCCCCAGCAGCAAACCCTGGGAGCTCTCAGTGGTGAGGTATTAACATGAATAAGCATTTCTTCAGGAAGCATTCTTGAAATGCCGGGTCCGGCTGTGCGGTGCAGCCTGGGACTGCCGGCGGGAGGTATATGACCTACAGATGTCTGAGTTTTCATTTGGCTTCTGCATCTTAGTGATTCCCTGCTGGTGTAACCTTTACCGGTTCCCACTGGAAAGAGTTCATGCTGTCAGGCATTGGCATCTAAACAGCGGGGAATTACCTCCTTGCTAGGAGCTGAGGCCTCTCAGCCCCCTTCACCTCACAGTCCATCGGCAGAGCCCAGGATTTTAGGAAGGGGACAGGAGCCTTTGAGCCCAGCGTTGTGCTCTGCACCCTCCTGACAGAGAAGAATCTCTCCTCAGCTCCCCGTACCTGGCCAGCAATGCTGGGGACCCCGGAGAAGAAGGGGAACTGGTGCACCCCGAGAGAGGGAGCTGATTCAGGAAGGGTGAAGGAATTCCAGGAATGTGACCGCCCTGTGGGGCACTGCCTGGGTGGGGCTGCTCAGGCAAGGAGAGGAGCTTGGTTTCGATTAATAACCCGGGATCTGCTGGCCATTTCATCTGGCTGTATGTGGCCCATTAGCTCTCTCATCCTGCAGATAACCCTGGCCAAATGCAGAGTTCCTTCCCCCTCCCTCTGCTTTTGGCTTTTAGAGCCACAGATTAGTTTTGGAATTAAGTGATCAAACTGAGGTTTCCAAGCTAGTGTGGCTGTTGCTGTTAGTGACGGATTGGGCTGTATCCTGGAGACCTAGGCGATAATGCAATCTGATTTTTTGTAAATGAACTCTCTGGGGGATTTAGATTAAATCACTGGTGGAAAATCACTGGTCCCTGCTTGTGGGGAATGGAACACCTCCTCCCTCTGTTCCCCACCCCCAACCATCACGATTCAGACTCTTCAATTTTTTTGTGTCTGTGTCTAAATTAATTGTTTGGAACAAATATTTGTTCAACAGATTGCGGAAGGGTCAGGACTCCTCTCTATCTGACCCGCCCACCAATTCTCGCTTTGAAAAATGCCGTTTCCACTCAGAGGACTGCCTTGCTTTCTTGTTCTAACCTTGAACCAGGCTTTTAACTTCCCTGCCCAGGCTATGCCACTGCCTGGGCTATGCTAGGAGCTGAATGGAAGCCAGGCACGGTGGTGAAGGCTGGAGTGGGGGGAATCCACACCACCAGCCACCAAAAAGCCAGCTCTGGGCAGTGTTGCTGCTGCCAGCCTGTTGCAAATCTTGAGTGTTCGTTTGACATCTTGGCTGTAGCTTTTTTCCACTCTCAGCTTTCATCATGTGCCTTCCTGGAGGCAGCCATGCCACTCCATAACAAGGGACAGAGGCCATAAGAGCTCCTGAGTGCCTCACGTGTGGGGCGTGCATGGGATGGGGATGCTCTGCTTTCCTTCGCTCTCTCGCGATTCCAGCTGCAGGGAGAAAGCTGCTGGCCTTCTGCCAGCTCTCCCTGTAAGAGGAGTGCCACCCTGCCCTGGCTGTGATGGAGCCATCCCTCTCCTGCCGCCCTGTTTGCACAGGGAGTCTCTTTGGTGCATTGGAGCTGTTAGAGCCTGTCCTATTCAAACAAAGCACTCCTGAGAGGTGCAGCAGGCAGGTCCTGGTGAGAGAGACGCAAGTTCTGGCAGGCCTGCTCGGCAGGGCCCAGGTGGTTTGTGTTTTGGAGCACTGCAGCACTTCTCTTCCTGGAAAGCCCCTCTGAAAGAGGGAAGGAGCATGGCTCCATAACAAGTGCTGCACAGCCAAATTGTGTAGAAAGCTCTGTTTCATTCCCCACCAGTGGAACAAAGGCAGCATCGAAGGGCCGCGGGGTGCAGGTGCCTTTGGAGGCTGCTGTGTGCTGGGCTGTAGCAGTTCTCTTGAGAAATCAAGTTTTGAGGCAAGGGGAAATAGCAAATCTTGCTCCATAACGTTATCGTAGGAGTGTTTTGTCACATTTACTGGCTCTGCCTTGGTTTGCCCTCTGCTCTGCAATCTGGCACTGAGAAAACAAACAAGAGCAACCCAAGGGGAACATTAATAACCAGCCAGAAGAGAGCTTCTGCCTTGGCAAGCCATCACATCCAAAAAGGAGGCTTTCCTGGGGCAGTTGCTTTGACCAGGGCCAGGTCTTACTTGCTGTGAGGTTGAAATGGTGATGCCAGTGGGGATTGGGAGTCGTGGTGGGAGAAATCTGGTGAGTGGGAAGGAAGGAGGGGGAAGTGCAGGGTGAAGGGTAGAGAGCCTGGCAGGCAGAGATGTACTGACCGTGCTTAATCTGTTTGAGAAAGGAAAGTGAGCAGTAGTTCCTGCCTGGCTGTGACCCTCTAGTGCATGACGGCTTTTCCTTCAAGGCTAAAGCCACATTCAGAGCCCACTCTGAATTTAAGGAGGGTTTTCTGGATAAGCTTGGAGTTAAATCTGTGGATATAGAGTCAAGAGGTTTGTAGGGAATATGGTGGGGACCAATATGAAGAGGTTGTGTCAGGCTAGAAGTGAAAGCAAATAGCATCTTTAGCACCAGTCTGGGATACATGAATCCCAACAAACTACTAGGCTGATGGAGAATGAACTACTTCCTGCGATGGCTCAGTGCTTCCTGGGTTCTCAGTTGACCCTGGCCACACAGTACATGGTGTGCTGGGACATGTGTTCTGTCTGCCACCCTGCAGTGGACTAGAAGCCTGTAATTCGCTTTGGGGAAAACCCTTTGAAGATGACAATATAGCAAGCTCATATTTATCTTTTAAATTTTTTTTCTGAATGGTAGGAAATGACTCAGCCTGTGTCATATGACAGTGCACAGCTGGGATTTTGTCCTGTACTCTGGCTCCAGGCTCCTCATTGGTTTCAGGTTGAGAGTTAGACTTTGATTCTCAGCTCTTTGGAAATGCTTTTTGGCCTTGTGCCTTTGTGTCCCGTGTATTCTGCACAAGCTGTCCCTGCCACTACCACATTTCCTGGGACTGTGGTTTGCCAGAGTTCTGTCCTTCTGAGTGTTACAGGCTGAGTTTCGGGGATGCCCCGGCATTTCTAATCCTGTTTGAGATCACAGCCATCCGTTCCACGTGGTGGTCAACGTGCAGCATAACTGACTCAGTGGAAATGACTGAGCATAGCCTTGGTCATGCTTTGTGGTCTTGAAGATGGATCCTATGGCTTCATCTCAGACTGAGAGAATTGGGGCTGTTCAGCCTGGAGAAGAGACGGCTCCCTGCCCATCCCTAAAGAGGCTCCAACAGAGCTGGAGAGGGACTTTGGACAAAGGCAAGGAGTGACAGGACAAGGGGGAATTCCTCCCCACTGACAGAGGGCAGGTTAGATTGGATATTAGGAAGGTTCTCTGCCCTGTGAGGTTTATGAAACACTGGCACAGGTTGCTCAGAGAAGCTGTGGCTGTCCCATCCCTGGAAGTATTCATAGTCCGGTTGGATGGGTCTTTGAGCAACCTGGTCTGTGGTGCTCAGCTGTACTATTGCTTTGCACTTTGTCCTTGGCAATTACTTTACAGCCTTGATCCCTTGCAGCTGAGACGATGGCCCCATTGTCATCACCTGCAAGGGTTGGAAAAAACTGTCCTCCTGCCAGTGGGGTTCCCCATGTCCCTTCCTGGGTGTTTTTCCATGGCTGTGGGAGCTGCCAGCAGTGCCCTGGCTCAGGCTATCCTGCCTGGAGCAACCAGCCCAGGTAGCTGTATCCTCACTGACGTCTGGAGATCTGGGCTCAGCATGTAGATCCCTGGCAGCTCCCCATCCAGCTTCGACCTGGGAGGCTTTTCTGCATTGCTCTCCAGGAAATGCCATTGGAATGACTTCCACTGCAGCTTCCTGCCCGGCCCACAGCAGCATTCCTGCCGCTAGACCAAGAGCAATGCAGAGGCTGATTTCAGAGCTTTGCTCTTTACCCCCTTTACTCGTTCTCCTTCTTTGGGGCCCTGCCTGTTTTCCTTGCTGCTTCTCGGTGTGTGGTGCAGTTTGATTACGTTCCTTAGATCTGTGATTACAGCAGGCGCCTGGAAAGCCAAACTCCTGCCCGTGGCTGGCTGTGGCTCAGAGCAGCCCACTTAACCCCGGGGTCTTTGAGCGAAAGGGATAGCGTTTCCTTCGCTCCCAGGGGAGCCACTGGCAACTCTGATTCGTAAAGCACTCTGAGGCTCTTTAATCCGAAGAGCTGAGTGTCATTTAAAAAAAGACCTGTGAAATAATTAACAAACTGTTTCTTGCTGCTCTGTGTTCACAGCTGCTCTCAGTAATGTCATTCCGCCTGCTCATCCTGCTCCTCTCTGACGCTGGAGCTGGGTCCCTGGAGCGCTGCCCGAGGTCTCTCCCTGCTTCAGCAGCAGTAGGGTGTCCCAGCACAGCAGAAGGGGTGGATGGGAGCTCTCTTTTCCCCAGTGGAAGCTGCAGCTTTCTGTGTGTGTCTGGGCTGCGATGCCTGATTTCTGTGGAGCTCCTGTATGGTTTGTGTACGTGGTTTCCCCCGGGAGCAGCAACACGCCTGCAGCACACACTGGGTACATCTGAATGGTGGTGTGGTGCTCTGGGACCTTTGCTGAAGCTGAGAAGGTTTGGTTTCCTTTGGTTTTTACCAAGCAGCTGACGGCTGTAAGCACAATCCCATCTTGACATTACAAGGAGTATTTCTCTAGCAGCTCTTTCCTCACTAGCTGTAAAGCCGGAATATTCCCAGGAGGAGCTGGGGGGAGGGAAGGGATGGATATCAGTTGTAGAAGTGTTGCAGACCTGCTGAACCGAGAGGCGAGGGATTAATGGTGGCTTCTGCCATGGGAGCAGAAGTCGGCTGGGGGCAGCTGCTCTGTCTGCTCTGGGGACCCCAGAGCAGCCGGGGTGTTGACCTACCTGCTGACTCAGAGCGAAGGTATCCACTGTGGGTGGCTCTGCCTTGTGGTGACAGGAGAACAGCCACTCTCCTCCACCCTCCACTCTCGTGCTCCACCCTCTTGCAAGGTAGGGATGTTGCCCTTAAACACTATTGTTCTGAGCCACTAAAGATTAACGCACAGAATGGAGGCATGAAAGGGAAGCAGAGTCCCTCAGTGCCAGGGCACTTCTTGCTTTACTGCCCTGACCTTGGACAGGGAAACTTCCTCCTCCCTGCTCCTCACCTGGAAGGATGTGCGGAGGAGTTCTTGGCAAGATCTCTCTGAAGTCCTGCTCCTAAATCATTCTTGAGATGCCAAGAGCTCAAGTTAGGGAACATGCATTCCAGAGGCGTGGGAGAGCTTCTCCCACAGTGCACCCATGGAGGGGGGCAGTGAGGCAGGCTCAGGGCACACACGGGCTGGCACCCATCGTGGTCAGGTGGGGAGAAGGGTTACTCTGCCACAGCAGAACAGCCCAGTGGAACGAGGGTGCTGAGGGCTGCTGGGAGGCAGAGCCGTTAGCAGATGGCTCCAGCTGGGCTTACCGGAGAGCAGGTGTGGGTTTCGGGAGCAGCCTTTTAAGAGAGATGTCAGTTTTGAACCCGGGAGGCTCAAGGGGCTGAGCCGTGGCTGCCACAACTCGCATGCTGTGGAGCTGTGACCTAGTTGCGCTGTAGAAATGCTCCGTTTATTTTTTATTTTTAGGTATTTTGCTTATTTTATCTTCATGTTTAATTTAGTTAGCAAAAAAAGAATCGGAGGGCTGAGCAGTGCTGGGAAGGACTGCCTGCAGGCGGGAACGCCCGCTGCAGCTCTGTGCAGCCAGCATCTCTCCAGCCGCCCGTGTCTTCTCTCGGACACGTGCTCACGTGTACCAGCCCAGTGCTGTCTCTCAGGATCTCTTTAATGGGAAACCCAGTGCACTCAGCGCTGCTGCCTGCCTCCGGGGTAGCGAGGGAGGGAGGGAGGAGTGGGATTCGGAGCGTTAACCAGAGAGGCTCCCGTGGCCATAGGGACTGTTTGAATGTTGTGCTGTAACTGGTCTGCTTTCCCTCTGCTGCTGGGAGCAGGAAGCTGGAGGAGCTTGGTGTTTCAGGGGCCTTTGGGCTGGTTACTTTTTCGACTGCTGCTTGTCTCTGCACTGGCACAGCATGCCCAGGGAAGGGTAATGGGCTGTATCTGCAAAGAGGGAAGTTTCAGGGGGTTGTGCGATTCCCTTGGGGAGAGCTGTTTGAATTTATTGCATTATCCTCCTTCCTGCTCAAGCTTGTGTTTCAGCTGTGTCTGCAGACGTAGCTGCTGATTTAAGTAGATCCAATTAGTAGCTAGCTCCTGGCATCAGTATCCTGCTTGGGGAGATGAGCCCTGGAGATGAGGAGCCTCCGGTGGGAGCAGGGCTGGGCTCAGCCTTTCAGCCCCCGTTCGCAGTCTGGGATGGACCCAGAGTTTCCCAGCTCACAGCCCTGCACCTGAGCTCAAAGGCAGGTGTCCTGCTCTGTGCTCTGCCTGGCCAAGAACAAACAGCAGGCAGGTTCTCCCTGTCTGTACCACTGCCAGACAGGTGCTCTTAAGAGTGAAATCAAATACTCCAAAACATGACAAGCTGGCAGCAGGCAGGGCTTGGAGCAGGAGCTGGGGCTGCTCACACCGGGACTGCAAGGGGCCTGTGAGCAGAGCTGTGCAGTCACCTGGCTCTTGGGGTAGAACTAAGAAGGGAACTGCTGGAACTGACTGCTGCTTGAAGGAGCATGCAAGGGTTTTCTTCTCTGCTGGAGGATGAAGGGCTCTTTGTGAAGCTCAGAGAAGAAGTCTAGACTGGCATGGAGCTGGTTTGGTTTGAATGCAGCTAGTGCTATGATCAGGTGGAGCAGGACATCTGTCTGCATTGCTTCTCTGAGCAGTACCAGTCCCATTTGCCCATCTCTCTGGTCTGTGCCACCATAGAGGTTGAGGAAGACTGGAGACACTACAGTGTTGTGCAGGGAGCACTGTCTGGTGGCAGTACGTGGCATTACTCTCTGTGTGTGACTCGTGGTGAGCTGGCTCAGGGTTTGGGCTGGGATGTGGGCACTGGGTGTGTGTGTGTGGCCCTGGGTAGTGCCTGGGTGACATATGACTAACATATGGAGAAAATGAGGTGCTGCTACCTGTAAATCAGCCATCATAGTGTTGCAAGTGCCTCCATCCTCTACTTGTATGGCTCACCAGTGTATTAAACTTGCTGGAGAGCTAATGTCTTTTAATAGAGCAACTGACCTCATTTAGAAGCTTCCAGTGCACCAGCCAGTGATTATTTCATGCAACAACATGCATGGAGGAGCCCAGGGCAGAGCACAAAGTCTCCTTCTCATGCTGCACTGCTTTCTCTCGTGTTTGCTGCATCAGCTGCCTACTGTGCTTCCTGCCCTCAAGTCAGTTAGGATTTTGCTAAAAGGGACTTTGTGGCTTGAATCATTTGAGATTTCATGGAACTAACAGGAAGTGAAAACAAAATGAGCACATCTTCCTCCTCTTCCTGCACCTCCACCCTTTCCCCTTTTTCATTCAAGTGGCATGTAAGAATTACAGCAGCCTCGTGAGGTGCCGGGGTTGAAGTGGGAAGTGGTAAAGCTTGGCAGTCACTCCTCCAGGATGCTGGACGAGTGGCTGAGGCAGCTCTTCTCCAGGATCCATCTCCTCTGGGGACCATCCCTGCATCCAGCCTGGCTCTCTTGAGCCCTGGTAGCACCAACATTCCCTGTGGGGTGGGCTTGGTGAGGCTCACGGTGCGGGCGAGGACCGGAAAGAGCTGTCAGCATCGCCCACTCACCCCCTGGCAGGAGGGAACGTGGCTCAGCAGCTGGGCACACGTGAGCATGGCAAGTCTCCCCGGCACAGGTTTCCCCACGGTTACACAAGGGCGCGATTGCAAAGGAGCTCTGACGTCCAGGAAGAGCAAAGACAAGGTGAAAATTGAGCTCTGTTCCCTGGTTGCCAGTGGCCCTGCTGAGGTGCTGTCCGGCACAGCGAGCTGGCCGCGGCCCTTTGCTCCCCGGCCCCGTGAGCGGCAGATAAACCGGGACATGAAAGCAGGAGGAGCCTTCCCTGCCCCCCGAGCGTGCCCCTCGCACAAAGGCTGCTCTGCTGCGGGGCTCAGACACCATCTGTCCGGTGGGGAGAAGCATCAGAGAGACCGTCTTTCCTCGGACTATTCCACTTAATGCCCTTTGGAAAACAATCCCATTCCCAGCAGGTGCTAATCTCTTGAGTGGATCCGGCTCAGCCAATGTGTTCTTCGCTGTGCCTTTGTACCAGAGCCGTGTCTCCTGCCATCCTCTCCTGCCCTGCCCAGCAGGCCCGGTGCCGGCCGGGGCTGCAGCA